ATCAACAGTTTTAATTCCACTGCATACGCCATCGCCCTAAATTTTATAATACAGTTTCCCCATACGCTATGCCCAGCCCCCGGAACCAAAAACAACTCTGCCCAAGGCACACTGTTTCACATCGAATTCTCCCACTAGCACTTGTTGCTATGGGATACACATGTGACACTGTTCAACAGCCTTCGTGCAGAAAATCCACCCACACAATGATATGAAAAATAAAAAATATTTCCCTAGTGCCCTCAATCATTTAACAGTTAGCAGTGATCGTCTTATAAATATTTAGATGTTCAGAAATGCTCAGAGAAGGCTCCTCCTTCCACTTCCGCCTTCAACAAGCCGGTCTTCCCATCGGAGCAAAAAATCCTAATAATTTTGGAGACAACCGCCAAAATTTGTGGTTATCTACTTGGACAGATCTGATGCACACACTCTGGCTGCTGAAGAGAGAGAAGCTCCCGGAAACACAGAGCCCAATACATTTATCAGTTTTGGGCTAGCCCCTTACACAGATGAAGTCAGTCCAGCAGACTCTGTCGCTTATCTAGAGCTCCACAGGCTTGGAGCAGCTGCAAGTTACCTAGTCATAACAAAATGAGGTAGCTCAACGTGTGTGGATGTTATGTGGTGTGTAACTAAAACAATCATTCAGACATAAATCTAACACAAGATTAATACAAGAAAACAATTGATGTCATGGCTTACTGCTAACCTTGAAACAGAGCAGACTAGAGCAGACTTTGAATCTTACTAAATTGCATTACTAATACATTAAAGTCTAAGACAATGTCGGGATGTTCTAGCTCCAGGCCAGTTATCTGGTCTGTCAGGAGCAGTAGTGCACTACCGTTGGCCTGTGGTTTTATGTACACTTTTAACCTGTATGAATTCTTATATGTCTTTTCAAATGTGACGCTGTAAGGAAACTATTCTTACAGTTACTGCAGGAATATGGCCTCTCACCTGTGTGAATCTTTGAATGAGCATACAATTGTGAGCTCTGCTTGAAACCTTTCCCACAAGTTTTGCAAACAAACAGCTTCTCACCTGTGTGGATTCTTAAATGTTTAGCCAAGTCTGAGTTCTGCCTGAATCCTGTCCCACAAGTGTGCCAAACACAAGGTCTGTCACCTGTGTGAATTTTCATGTGGACACACAAATGACTTCTTTGTGTGAAACTCTTCCCACATGTTTTACAAGAATATGGCTTCTCACCTGTGTGGATTCTCAAATGTCGGTTCAAATCGGACTTAAACTTAAGATCTTTTCCACAAGTGTCACATTTGAAGGACTTGTTACCTGTGGTAGGATCAGAGACAATCTGTGACATGGGAGAGTTGTCCACATTGCTACTGTGACTGGTTGGTCCTGAGTCTACATGCTGGTTTCCTCTCTGATCCTGGCTCTCAGCTATAGGAGAGCTGTGAGAGAGGAGCTGCTGGTCACTGTCTGGTTCTGGTTCACTGTGGTCACTGGGCTCCTGCTTCAGTCCAAGCTGCGCTCCGTCCTGAATGCTACAGAGTTCCTCCTGTTCCACTTTAATCTCTGGAGGTTCTGGCTCCTCTTGGTTCAGACTGGAGTTCCTCTCCTGGTCACAGAGCTGCTGGTCAGCCACAACCTCCTCCTCCTTACAGACATGTTGCTGAGGCAGCTCTGGAGGGACAAAGGTCAATGATGTGATGAAAAAGAAAAGAGAAAAAAAGACTGATGAATATTATTCATCAGCTTCTTACTGGAATTTTTCAGGAACCCCAAGGCGTTCTCAGGCCAGCCAGGAGACATAGTCTCTCCAATGTGTCCTGGGTCTGCCCTGAGGCCTTCTCCCCGACGGACATGCCCGGAATACCTCCCTAAGGAGGCATCACGGGGGCATCCTAAACAGGTGCCTGAGCCACCTCAACTGGTTCCGCTCAACGTGGAGAAGTAGCGGCTCTACTCCGAGGTCCTCACGGGTGACTGACTATTAAAAATTACTAATGATATTTTGTTGGCTAGGGATGCTGGGGATCTAGTTCTGTTGGTGCTTTTAGACCTTTGATACAGAGGATCATAGAATCCTCTCATCTCAGTTGGAGCAGTGTGTAGGAATTTAAGGTACTGCTCTTAACTGGTTTAGATCTTATCTCATGAATAGAAGTTTTTCTGCTAATATTGGTAACAGTTCCTCCTCTTCAACTATCCTCTCCTGTGGTGTCCCGCAAGGGTTTGTATTCGGCCCAACTCTCTTTTCCTTGTACATGCTTCTGCTGGGATAGGTTCTAAGGAAATATGGCTTCTCCTTTCATTGTTATGCAGATGACATCCAGATATATTTACCACTAAAAGCAGCCGGAGGGATGTCTCTACAGCCACTGTTTGACAGACCTGAAAGCATGTCTGGCGCAGAACTTTCTAAAATTAAATGAGGATAAAAGACAGCATGTTATTTGGCGATCTGGCAAAATTGGCTCATCATCTGAAGATGACTGTAAAAAACCTAGGGATAATGTTTCACAATGACTTAAGATTTGACAAGCAGATCAACTCGGTCATAAAATCTAGTTTCTTTCATCTGAGGTTGTTAAGTAAAGTCAAGTCATTTCTTTCTTTTAATGATTTTGAGATTGCAATTCATGCTTTTATAACCTCTAGACTTGACTAATGTAATTCATTATACCTTGGTGTTAATCAGTTGTCTCTCACTCATCTTCAAATGGTCCAAAATGCTGAGGCTCATCTTTTAATAGGTACCAGGAAATCTGACCATATAACCCCTAGCTATTAATTTTGATTTTTAAGGTTCTTAATGGTTTGGCACCACCCTACCTCACTGAGTTGGTGCAAATCTACAAGATTGCTGAGACCATCAAGCCAGTTTCTTTTAGATGTTCCCAGGGCCAGATACAAACACTGGACCGTGCTTTTATTGTTGCAGCTCCTAAATTGTGGAATGGTTTACCTTTCAATGTTGAATCATCTACAGAGTTGACAACTTTTAAATCATTGGTTAAAACAGATTTATTCATTCTGGCTTTTAATACATAGTATTGTCTGATGCTTCTTGAACTGTTGATTCTGTGTCATTTGTGTTTATGTTCCTATGTTTTATTCCTGTATTGATATTATTTTAGTTCCTACCTTGTCCTTGTAAAGTACTTTGGTCAACCAGACGTTATTTTTAAAGTTCTATATAAATAAATTTTGATTGGATTTGATTTAAAAATCATTCCTGTTTTAAAGACCTATCCTGTGCAGCTTTACTTGGGGTTTCCAGACGATATCCAGCAGTCTGCGCTGACGATCGATCTCTTCCTCGTAATGGACGACAGTTTTTTTCCAAGACTGTGAATATTTCCCCAGCAGCAACAGTTAGTCGCTCGTTTATGAAAATACTTCCGGAATGGGACGTGAATCAGCTTTTCATTCTGCATTCCACTGAGAAAAACATTTTTTATAGCAGTTGGTCAAAAGTGAAGCTTTTTCTCCTTCTTCTCTAAAGTTTCCTCCGCTCACTTCCACTGGGTGTCACACTGTAAAGTCTCAGTACAGGAGGTGCATCAACTTCCAGTTCCGCCAAGAACATATCACACAATTATGACAGTCGACATGAGTTTCTTGGAAAAGGATGTTTATAAAAAGGATTCCCATAACATACAGAATGCAGATGTTGAGTCTTTTAAAGTACAATTGGTACATTATTCTTTTTTTAAATGAAGCTTTCAAAGACTGAGAAAGCATCAATGAATTAAAATCTACATAAACTCAACCAGTGGTTGTTTGATGCTGAAACAGCAGCACGTCTGTGTGCTCCTGAATTGACTGATCAGATCTGTGTTTTGTCTGAACATAAAACTATGAGTTTTAGATTATTATAACGGATCATAAACTCTTTATGTGTCCATTTGATCCAGTCTCAATGTGCAATGCTCTCTGGGTTTAGTATGTGTTCTGACACCTGTCCCATCTATCTGAAATAAAACACTATAACAACAACAAACACAAATTGAATTTTGTCAGCTTTCCTGGTTTGTGGTGTAAAAACAAATAGTTTTGCTTGGATGTAAAACAAAATAAATATTTTATGGCTTAAACTATAATAAATAGTCTCCAATACATCACACATATCAAGCAGCAGTAACATTGTATTTTGTGGTTCCTGTGCTAATGTCTTGCCCTCTCCATCCAGGAATAACAGAAAACCTTAGTTCTTTCAGTATGTGTATAAAATGTAACAGCAAATCATTTCTTCCAGTTTCTATCTCTAACAATATTATACAGCTCTAATCTATGCTCATGTTGAATCTAAGAAAAAGTTTTTATCTTCTGGCAATAAATGAATCACTGCATTACATTTTAGAAAAAAGAATCTGTGCAATACATCTGTAGGATATTGATAAATGTGGACCACCAGCGAGCCACCAAACTTACACCGATTTGTAGTTTCACAATACCATCACAAATGGTGATGCTATGCTGGGAAAGGCTGTTTCCTCTTTAACAAGACCACAATTACGAGCATGTTAAAGTGAAACCAGTCACATTACACAAATATGACAAACACCAACAATGAGCTGCTTGAATGAACCAAAAAATAACCTACGGTTTAGATCATTAACCATTTTACACTGGTTCACATGGCCAAAAGTATGTAGACACTAAATGTCATTGTTTAACATCTCATTCCAAACCATGGAAATTAATCAGCCTGCACTGTTCTGTTTCTAGCAACCAAGCATCCCTAGTTTAAGTTATCGCTAGGAAACACGACATGATAGGAGGCAGAGCAAGTGGTGGTTAGGAGCAGCTTATGATATCAAGCCATTTTTACACATGAACTCCAGACTACGTCCACAAAATAGGATAAGGATAAGCACCTTTACTGGCCAAGTATGTTACACACAAGGAATTTGTTTCTGGTACAGAACCGATGGCAGCTATCTGCGGCGCCAATTCAACCGACGGCTCTAACCATCGGGGGCAACAGTGTTTTGCCCAAGGACACTCTTCGACATATGGACTGCAGGCACCAAGATTCGAACCTTCAACCTTCTGGTTGGGAGACGATTGCTCTACCCACTGCACCACTGTCGCCTCCAAAATCAGGTCAAGACTTTGTCCAGAGATGCCCTTTCACACATGTAGCACACAACAACGAGGTGAGAGCGTGCAGGAGGCTGCACGTGATGTGGTCATGTAGCCAGTTTTTAATTTGGTCATAAACAACTGAATCTCTTGCCGTTCCTTAACTTTATCTGACAATTCTGGTGCCAGTTCTACAAGACAGAAGTTCCTGAATCTCGTCATGCCTCCAGGTTGATATTTTTGTTGCCATCTTAATTAATGACCATTTTTCCTAAAAAAAAAAAAGAAAAAAGAAAAAAAAGAAACAAAAGTCTCACAACAAAAGTACAGAAAGAAGGGTGAAAGGTATGTCCACATACTTTTGGCCTCATGGTGGTAGATGTTTTACAACCTCCAAGTAAACAGTTTATAACTTCTTTTTTTGTCATTTTTATGGAGGATTCATAAGGATAAGGTCACAGACCATTGCATGTTGTCACATGATTTAGCTTACTGTATTTTAAGAATTACTATACTGTAAAAGAACAGATCATTCTGGGAAAGTCTACGGGATCTGTGAAGTTTAGAGATTTGCACTCTGAGCTCATGAATATAAGAAATTTAAAAAAGCAAATGATACAAAACTGTATTTATGTTGGACACAGATGCTGCTGTTGATGCTGGGTGGTGTTGTGTCTGATCTGGAAAAAGCCTCTATAAAACCAAACTCTGGACTTTATGTCAGTTTAAATATCTTCACCAGGGTTCATTTAGAATTTTTAACTGCACACTGAGGATGCAGAGAAATCCATACTGAGAAGAATGAAGTGTACCCTTCTCCACGTCACTGTGTAGCCCTTCACCACTCTCAATGATCTGCCCATTTTTGGTCTTTAAGAGTCTCATAATTTACTCATAATTTAGTACTTTTTCATATGTAAAAAATATAACGCACACAACAGAGTCTAGCTGGAAGTCAGTTTGACATTGATGCTAGATTAAAATTCCAGTTCAGGTCCTTAAAGATTTGTTTTTAGTATGGAATGAAAGACAAACCTGGTGATTGAAAGTCTGGAACAGAAGGGTAAAGCCTCAGTGATGTCAGTCAACGATACCACTGCAGGTGGGAACAGCTATTCAAATTTTTTTTTTTTTTTAACAGAGGAGCGTGCATATCTGCCGCACAGCAGCCAAACTTCCAGAGCTCAAGGGTGTGAAAACTAAAAAAAAGGGTGGAACATAAAGAGAAGAATGTTTGCCTTCTTCTGCAGCCAGTTCCAGGAGCACAACCTAGCTGACGGTCCAGTTTCAGTTCATACTGCTCAGAGCTGGTGCTGGTCCTGCAGTGGCTGCTGCTAGCCCAGCTGTATCTGTCCAGAATAGATGGTGAGAAGGAGCATGATGGCGAAGCCTGTCAGCAACCCAGCATTCTGGATGGCAAAGGTGAGGAGAAAGGTGCTGCCACCTGCGTCCTCTCCCTCACGACTCACTTCATTCATTTCTGGAAACTGAGAAGCATAAAACAGAGAGAAAAAGGAACCTGTCAGCTTCTACATAACCAGGGAAATCAAAGCAGCAGACATGCTCCTTCTCAGCTGGAAAGAGCTAGACCGATTTTACATGTCAAATTCAATTTGCTAGTCATGTGGAGTACTACACAGCCTCTGAAACCAGTTGTAATAGTATGTCTTCTGGCAGATGGAGTCTGAAAGATGGGGACTTCTACCAGACAGGGAAGGTGTAACAAAAGATGCCATCGAGTTGTTTTAAGTGTAGGATAAAAGGTTTCTGGAGTTTGACCAAGCCATGGACTAAGAGTCAAGTTATCTCAGCTGCTGGTACATCAATTTGGAACATCTGTATATCTGTCTCTCAAGAGAACTGTACCTGTGCTTTACTACATCGCTGGAGTGCATCTTTACATTAGCAGTTAAAATTTATTCACACAGATATACACCTATGGGATTCCAACTGAGACATTTAACTACAGGAGCACAACATAAAATGTAGAAATTACTAACAAAACAACTTCCACCAATAACTGTGCAGACTGACAGAGATGATTTCTCTGATAACTTTTTTGGGGGTCCTTTTTAAAGTAATCTGAGTGATCACATCTTGATAAACTTGCATTATGTTTATCTTCTTAAACAGGTAACTGTTTTGTGTGTATATGAAGACATCACTATGAATATACTGTATTAAGAAAACTGGAAGTTTATAAGATAATGATCAAACACCACAGGACCACTTTTTCAAAATAAAAGCCTCCACAATACAGTAGAATAGCAATGTCTTTTAATTTCTTATATTTTTGCATTGGACTTTTTCCCATTTGTCCTCTTAAGTAACTTGCACATGTGCACTATGGCAGCACTAAACTTATTATTATGGACAATAGGGAACATTCTTCAAAAGTACTAATGATAAACTTTGAAGTTTTCAGTCCATTTTGTTGTTTGGTAAGCGGTTCTTACCAAAAGTGACCAAAAGTGACCAAACTTAAAATGGCGTGAAATCATGTGAATCAACAGGATTCTGCTGTGGTATGAGACTAAACAACCACACCCATCAGTCTTTTTCTCCCAAACACTGACCATGTCTGCCAAAGCAATGTAGAGGAACATTCCTCCTGCCAGGGCGAAGATCCAATTCGGGGAGAAGCTGTTGCCTGCCAGGATGCCAAAACCCATGCCCAGGTAACAGCAACAGGCAGACAGGAAGTTAAAGAAGAGAGCCTGCTGTATGCAAAAAGCAGGATCACAAAGTCTCCTAGTGGCAGAAAGACAGAAGAACATGCATCAGTGTCTGAACTGCTGGTGCACTGATATTTCAAGCTGTTAAAAAAAAAACTTTTATGGACTTAAAAATAAAATACAAAAAACAGCTCCTTATACTAAACAAACAGAATCACTTGAATGAATATAAAGATTGTCTTCAGGGTAGACCAGCAGCCTGGCAGACATTCAAGACAGCAACGTGCCATTAGAAAACATCTGCTCACCCAGCTCATGGGGGAACTCCTCACACAGGATGGCCACGGAGGTGCTGATGCCCTGGAAGACGGAGGCGGTGAAGGAAGCGCCGATAGCCAAGCCGTCAATAAAGTTGTGGAGGCCGTCACTGAGTGTGATCATCCAGGCCAGTGTGCCGATGTCAGAGTAAGTCGTCCCCTTTAGCCAGTAGCAGCCACCTCCACTGGTGGACCGCCCCCCGCTGTCTGGGCTCTGAGAGTCCTGGGGTGTACAGATTGTGGGATGCCCATTAGAAGTAAATGCATATAGACAGGGCACCAACATGCAAATACCACAGTGTGTCAATAATTCACGAGATAATTAGGCTGCACAAAGAGTTGGAAGTATTTCTTTCAGGTACATCTTAAACTAGTGGTTTCCAACTTTTCTGATGATCCCTTGTCACATCTTCAATATATGTCGGAGTGGTTCAAACAAAGGAGGGGTTCTCTCTTTTTAACCTCTCAGCTTGTGTCATCTGAATACATATAAAAGACCTGAAGATGCAAAACTACCTGGCATTTAATAAAAAATGTTTTAACACTTCTTTGTCTTTAACTCTTTTGGATAAAGTCCAATTGATCATTCTGTGACTCTTCCCAAATCTGCGTTTGAGACCTGCTGTCTTAAATCACCTTTGGGGTGATTTTTAATTGAACTGTCATGCACTGATATACTGTTACATTGAGTGTTATTAAAAGACCAATTAATGACCCAATTTCTGTCATATTCTTGTACTGCAGTGAAGTGCTTCATTTCATTTTTAGGACTCAGTATGTTCTATCCCGTTCTGGTGTCGCATCACGATACTGGGCATGTCATTTTTGTCAGTGGTTGTAAAAGTCTAGTCTATCAAAGGTGTGACAGCACTCTGGCTTAACTTTGTCCCTCTAACATGGGCAGAAATCAGTCTCAATGTTTAAGAAAGAAAATCGGTATGAAAATATAGACAGAAAATCCTACATTCTCACCGTACTCTATCTTCTGCTCACCAAACCTAAATCTTACCTGTGGCGTCTGTGCAGGGCTGAGCATGAGCTCGCCCTCCCCTGCATCCACCTTGCCCAGTGCCAGAGCGCTGGTTTCTCCATTGTGTTGCAGCTTCTCCTTCTCGCCCTCCTCCACATCCCTGTCAGGCGTCGAGTAGTGTTCTGCACCGGGGTAATTACCGTGGCCGTGGCTCTGAGGTGAAGCACGAACCGTGATCAACAAATAACAGATTTTGATAGATACATTGTGGGCAGAAATTCTTGATAACCTTTAATTTTAAATTAACCTGAACCTTCTTTAAGATGCTCCTTGCTGCTTTAATTACTTTCGAGCACTGTGTGCTGCTGTTTCTTCTTAGGAATGTGCCATCAACTCATGGCTATTGAGTCATTTTGTTTGCTCCTTGAGGACTAGTCAACAGGTTAAAATGCCATATACATGTGATTTAAGAGAAATGTACCCAATCCCCAGGTCACATAAAATTTTTGCTCATGAGTTCCTGCCTCAGAGACTTTGGTCTGAGCCTCTTTCAAATTATGTTTTCACTCAAGGACAATACGAAAGTGCAGGAACCTTCACATTTAATCAAACAGTTCTTACTCCCAGTACTACACTACAGTCCCCCCATAACATTAAAAAAGTGAGCAGACAAAGAGAATTTTAGTTGTTTTTCTACAGTTAAAGAAAAAAAGCTGACAGCAGCATCACAGGTGCCAGTGCAGGTCCAAGAGCTGCTGTTACTGGATCAGCAGGCTAATGTGTTAGCTGTTAACTAGGTTGGCTGGACCATATGGCCCATAGCAGAGCAACCACAAGGTGGAGCAAGTTGCCCACAGTCACTCATCTACATGTCCAGCTGCTACATCTTGTGAATGAAAACAGCAGCATTACAAGGCTGAACCTGTGTCTGCAGCCTGTGATTTCAGTCAGTCTGGTTTAGGATTTAATTTAGAGGATAATCTACAAGCTGAAACAGTGCTGTACCACTGGTTTATACAGATCTCTATTACCACTCTAGAAAACTGTTTAAATAAGTACTACCTGTGAGCAAGGGTTGATAAGAAGCCACCATGGTACAACAGCCTGATCAGATCACACCACAGCAGTGGCTGTGATTGTCCACTTCTAGGCAGAAATCACTGAAAACTTGAAGTGGTGGTACAAAAAAAAAAAAAAAAAAAGAGCAAACAGTCTGTTGGGGGTACTGATGTTCAATCACATTAGGTTATGCCTGCAAACAAGGACTATTTGTATCAGTTTATTAATGGACTTTTTTTTTGTTTTTGGGATAAACGTCAAAAAAGGTGAAAATAGTCTTTGGCAGGTCCCGCCACCCAAGGTAACATAAAAATCTTCACTTACCAACAATAACTCAGAAGCTGGAACCTGATAATTAACAATTTTTGCCTGAAAAACTACTCAGCCACCTGTCTGGGCACTAATGTGTGTTCAGTGCCTATTTCTTTATAAAATAGCTGAAGGGAAAAGATGGCATCCTTGCCCTCTGCCCCAGAACACAGGCAAGCTTTGAGATCTTAGACTGTTAATGGTGACACAGGCTGTGAACAATCAAACAGACCTTTCAGGTGACTACATCAACAGTGCAAAATGCAAAGCACTAATGAAAAAAGGGCAGAGACGATTTCCATTCTGAAGGACACGTAAGAACATATCGTATACAGTATGTACAGAGGGAGGTGGTTGATACAGAGAGGTGCATGCTGGGTTAATGAAAACTGCAGAGGGCTTGAAGCTACGTGTCACTGACTGAAGTGCATTAAAAAAGCAAACACTTGACAAGGAATGTTGACATGTCTGTCTACAGAAAAACTATGCAGTGCCCTAAAAGCTCAACGCAAACAAGCTCTCGGGGATCACTGTCTGACTACACCTTACACAACATGTAATTCCACATTCAAATGAGTTTTTAATGTACCAGTCATTTACTAAAAAGCTAACATGCAGTTGAACCGGTGAAACAGATAAAGCAAGTAGGAACAATCTTGCATCATGTTATGGGGCCCAGAGCAGCTAATAAATAATCTTAAGACTCGGTTGCCTGACAACAACATAGCTTGGTGTGCTTACCTGAAACACACTGCAGGATGAATGGATAAAGACAAAAAAATAAATCTGTACTGACGTAGGGTGATAAAAATTCTACTCAGCTACAATTTACTTTACAATAAATCTTTCATTAAGGTTCACTGACTTTTCAATAATTTCAATCTTATTACTGTATCTGAGTACGGGGACATCATTAGAACACAACCAAGGCTGGCCAATACTTCAGCAGACTAGCATTATAATTAATTTACCAACTGAATCTTTTCAAACAACAAAAGGAAGCAAACTTCCCATCAATCATGTTGTGTACTCACCCCCTGTTTCTGCTTGAGAAGCACTTTGAGGACCTTCTCAGTGAAGAAGAACAGATAAAAGCCTCCAAACACCACCGCAGACTTGGACACATAGAAATCTACCATCGGGTCGAAACCAAAGGCCTGCCATGCAGGAAAGAAGACTGTGTTAGCTTGGGATTAATACTCATAGTACCTATTAATACCTATCATTACTATTAAACATCACTCAATGTGCATATTTTTAACATGCTATTTGTCACTGTCAAAAGTAAAGATCATAATCTTTTGGAATGAACAGTTAGTGGTTGTGAACTGTTCTGAGCTCTGGCCTATGTAGTCAGCGGTCTGAAGACAAGATCAAGTTTCATTTCTGGCAAAGAGAATATTTTCTCATGTTTATGTTCAATGTCAGCAGGTGATCAAAAGGAAATTTTTTTCCTCCCGCTGAATGTTTTTGGATGGGTTCAGTGTTGTCCATCATTAGATGAAGAAGTGAACAGTAACATCCAACTAAAGGCTGACATCCTTTTAATAAGATACTGCAGAGATTCTTCCACAGCAGCTTCTGCCCTCAGAAACATGTTGAATTACATATGTAATAGTCTACAAACTCCCCTGGTGATCTGATGCACTGGATTACACAACATCCATCCATCCATCCATCCATCCATTTTCCTCCGCTTATCTGGGACCGGGTCGCGATTACACAACAGTTTTGTAATAAAATGAATTATGCAACAGCTTTGCAGCTGTAAACCTCAGACTCCTTCAGTAACCTGACTTTAATATCATATAAATGAGAAATCTAAATCAATTGATGGTAAAAGATTATAAGCTAAATATCTGCTGTAAAACTACACTTTTAATCTCATTGTGGTAAACTCTATTCAGACACCAGGCACACAAAGTAGTTGTACTCTGCAGCATCATATTGTATATACAGTATTCCAGGAGACAATACTGATTATTGCTCAGATGAATGTAAATGCACATTTACAGTAACATGGTTAATGCCTTGACCAGAAATCCTGCCAATAATCTGGTTAATGTGCATGTACATGTAATCTTCTGTCTGGTAAAAAGCTGATCTTGAGGTTCACGATGTTCTGAAACTGACCTAAAACGGCTTACAAAAAAAGATAAACCCTCGGTACAACTAATGTCACGAACGTTTGTAAAGAGAAACTCTGGGTGTGTTTGTGGCTGGAAAACATTTCCTCTCACCAAACACACACACACACACACACACACACACACACACACACACACACACACACTGTGGGGGGCCCCTGTGTGGTGACTGACACACACTGTGGGTGGCCCCTGTCTGATGACTGGCAGGTCACTTGTCAGCACAGACAGTTATGCAAATATATATTGGGAATGAATTATTTCCCATTAGCTATAACTGGAAATTAACAGTTTATTAATTAGGTTCTAGACCAGAGATATTGTTTAGTATTTTAACTTTAATCAGGATAGGACATTTTCAGACATTCAACTTTAATCAACCACATAATAATTTAAATAAATACTGTAAGGGCAAGGGCAGTATAGCAAAGTATATAGATTTGTCTACTGCCTGACATTTTCTGCTTTATGAAATTTTGCAATTTTTCCATCAACCTGATGAAGTTGGAAATTTAGCTCACTGATTCCCATATCCTTATTTTACCTGTAAACATTTTCTCAACCAATTTCTATAAACATTAGCAGCAGTTTCATCCATTCTTATTATATTACCACAAGTCCATTGACAACAATTACTATGCATTTTCCATGTCAAATTTGACTGAAGATTAATGTAATTAATTATGGTGAAGATTTTGCTTGGTGCTCCATTTAAACTGATGGTGACTGGGCAACATGATATAGCTAAGTCATTCCAATTACTGTAATATTTATATCACATTAAATGAGATGAAACAATTATTATGAAACAAGTTATTAATGTTTTTCCAGCATTTTTTCTCAGTATTTAAAAATCAGTATTCGATGCTCTTCACAGAACGCTGCACTGAGGCACTAGGAGCTGCAGCTAAGTGAGGCACAGTGGCACTGACACTACCTCTGGGATGAGCTGAAACAGGGCGTTGGAGTACAGTGTGCCAATGGCCAGGGCTATGAAGTAGAGCAGCAGGCGCTTGTAAAAGGTTTTCTTCATGAAGGGCACCACGCTGGCGCCGACCAGCGAACACAGAGAGATCAGTGTCACACACAGGATCCCATAACCCCACACTGATCAATGGAGAGGAGGCACGAAACAGAAGGGGGAAAAGATAGTTAGTCCAGAAATGATTAAATCCCAGGGTAAGGAACAGCAATTAGAGAACACCAACCAGCGAATTCCCTGAAAAGAAAGGGAGGATTGAATAAAACCAACCTGCAGCTCATCATCCACTGAAACCAGATCATCAGAAATGAAAACACCAGTTATCTGCATTTGAAGATAATGATTTGTTGGACTATGTAGCAGTCCACAAACACCATACATTTCTTTTGATATGAGAGAGGAAGCAATTGATGTACAATTTCAAGCACACCCACACACCATAGACACTCAGGTTCATCTAAACCACTATGGCAGGGCACATACTAGTTCTGCAGACACAAAACAGTTTAAACAGCCCAACAACAGGAGCTGAAACACTGCTAATATGAGGGCACATTTAAATCTGAAGGATGCCATTTCTCCATGACTGCCTTACACAAAATGTACAAATCCTGAAGCAAAAACAAACCCATAGTGAGTGACACACTTATGTCTGTTCAGCCATTCTACAGGCTGCAGTGGCAGAAGCAAAACCTCATAGCTAACCTAGATCTCAATGGAAAGCACCGACACTGATACAAACACACACAAACACACCACAGGAGGATCAGTGAAGCAGGGAGGGTAAAACAAAACCAAAAAGGTGCTTACTCAAGCCAAAAGAAACCACTGAGAGAAAACACAGGCGCTTTGACCAGTGGACAGAGAAAGGAGGGCCTGGCCAAAGGTGCACTACTTTTCAAAACAGCCATGTGACACTACAGTGAACTAAAGAGGCTTTCAGGTTTGGTGTTTGTGTTTTTGAAAAGCAAAGGCTTATGGGCTATGGAAAGATGTATAGATAAAGATGAAAACAGTTGGCAAACCTCAGGCAGCAGCTGCAGGATAGCAGTGGAGTACAGCACGCCAACCGAAAGAGCGATGAAAAAAGTGAGTGCGTATTTCATATACTGCGTCTTCATCAGCGGCAAGAAAAAGACTCCGGTGAGGGAGAAGACATTGATCACTGTCACGCTCAGGAAAGAAAAGCCCCACACTGGGGTCGGAGTGACAGGAAGGTTAGAGAGAAGAGGAAGGCGTAACATTAGATCAAACTGCCATGCAAACTGTTTGGTAATGCTGCTGTACATGAAACATTTTTTCTTTTAAAACAAACCTAGTGTGATCAAACACATGCAATGACCCTTAGATTCTAAGCCACAGATGAAGTGTGGCCTGAGCCCTAATAACCACAGACTTCTGCTCAGTCCTTGTAAAGCTTTATAACATTCTGAATCATCCAGCTAATAATTTCTGACAAGTAATTTACACAATGACAAGTAGAGCTTTGTGTTATTGTTGTAGCAGTGAAAACAGATTCCCTATTTTCAAATTAAAACCTCATTTCAGCATCTACACACAAAATATGAGGCCCAGGACTGAAATTAAATATGTATTTTTTCTGAATGAAGTCCCCAAGAAATGCAAAGCAGTCTTTAAGTTGGACCTAGTGTAGAGGTTTTTCTAAAGTTATTCTGTAAATCATCCAAAGTGTTTTACTTGAACCAAATAAACACTAAAGCTGTTGTGAAGGTCAATGCTGGAAAAGGTTAATAATGAGCAATAGTTCTGACAACAAGCAGTTAAAGGCCACCTTTAAAAAAGTGGCATGGGGCCAATGGCACAAGTGGCAGTCTTAAGAGAAGACACCAGCAATTGTCAGTTATTTCATCTCTGGAAAATCTGCAAAGATCTTACACTGAGGTAATGACAAACAAACAGGACATAAAAATCAGTGAGATGTGGAGCAGAGGTGATTTTCCATAGCATCTGCCTCTCTGCTGCTGGCAGATCCACACAGCTTAGGCAAAGAAAGACAGCTCTCAAGCCAAACTAAGCTGCCTACAGGGGCAGATGTGAGGCGAGTGGAGGGTATATGAGTGGATGATAAGGGAACTCAAATTTGTCTGTGGAGAGAGAGAGAGAGAGAGAGAGACAGAGCTCTGGGCCATTTGTCCTCCACCTGTCAAAGATAAGATAAACTGGGTTAAAAATAAGAAGTCACATTTGTGTGCTAGCTTAGCAAGGACACAGCGCAGTGTCATTAGTTCTAAAAGAAGACTGTTGTTCACAGTCATCACACACATAATGAACGCTGTTATTTTCTCTTAGAGAAGCTGTGCTGCCTATGGATTTCAGTGCTGCTGCAGCCTTGATGGAAAAAGATCCCTTAAGCTCAAAAACCTTTCTAAGTTTTGTCATTCACTAGCTTCTTATGACAGCTATGTTTTCCAAAGTCAGTTTACATTCCATTCAAAAAGGACCCAAAGGTTTGTTAAGCAATAGCCTACGCTGCACTGAACATTTCCAAAAACTTCAGGCTGGATGTCGATGGCACAATTTCCAGGGTGCTCAAGAGCTACTGCCTGTGTACAGTCAGCAATCTGTATGGCGTTATAGCAGGTCAGCAGCCGGGGAAAGGAACAGTTTGTAGCTGAGATGCTTTCTTGTACCTGCTGTCTTTACCTGGACGAGATCACTGGATATGCTGACTGAAGTAGAACTGTGGAGTCTAAAGGATGTGCTGGTTTTCAAGCCAGTGAGAAATGTACTCACTGTCAAAGGTGCAGAATAACTATAAATAACCTATTAAGAAACTGTAAAAAAAAAAAAAAAAAAGACAGCTCAAGCTGTGGGAGGCAAAAGGTGATCAACAGAAAACACAAATGTAAATCTAAAAATACACAACACTCAACAATCACGTAACATACAACATGTACGATTTACATTAATCAAAGAACATGTGAAAAATATCTTCAGTGTTAACAACACAAGGAGATATTAATAATTTATTTTAACACCAAGTAACAAGTCAGTCCTCACCTTCAGCATCTGATGGCCTGGGGGAGGTGTCATTGCTCAGCCCCTCCTCTTTTTGTGTCTTGCAGCTCCCAGCATCCAGCTGCTGCAGCATGGTGGGGCACAGCTCCTGTAACCTCTGCCCATCCAGCTGTGACTGCTCACTGATGCTGTAAATAGCCAGCGTGTCTGCAGGCAAGCACTGCAAATAAAAAGGCAGATCAGCCAGTTGGCATAAAGAAATTACTGCTAACTGATTTAGCCAGAACAAAATGGAGTTCTGAGTGCCCACTGAATCCACAACTATCAATCTGTCACAAATTAAACTGCACTACAACACGCACACTGTTAGTGTTTTGCTGACAGAAAATTAAATCTGAAAATACTTGAGAAAATTCTTTGTTACACTCAGTTAATCAAAAGAAATCATAGGTAATTGGATGCTGGAAATGTAAGGAAAACTGCCAATCACAGAGCCAGTTCATTAACAACGTAGAACTAGAGCCTGCACCACAGAGCAAGATTAGCGGGTTTCTGGTATCACAAAGCTGACTCACTTTTAATTGGGCAACATGAGCCTGGCGACCCACTGTAACCTGCTGCAGAGCAGGTGAACATCAGATGATCGGGTCAAAACCTGTCAACCAATCAGACCACTGGATCCCATTGGGGGGGCGTTATATTACGATGGCAACTTGCCATCATGATGGGTGTCAGCCATCGGTGACGGAGGATGGCATTGAACCATTGCCCATGCCTAGTGTAGCTTCCCTCCATTGTCCTCTCAGCTCCGCTCTAGCAGCAGAAACTGATTAATTTATTAGCACATTTCACAATAGCTTGTTTATCATTAGGCAAAAGAGAATCCTCATTCAGTAACTCCCTTGTAATAATACTGTGCTGTATATTATATTATCAGCCTTTCTTCAACATTTGAAAATTATTTTTGTGTTACAGATTCTGTTTTGTGAAGCTAACTTGCGCACTGGCAGGTTTTCATCAACAAACCCAGACTCTGTCAACCTCTTCCTTCCTCCTGCAGTGTCTGAAGAAGCCGTTTCATTTTCCCACTTATACAGCTCATATTAAAGCAAATATCGAATCATATTCATTTTGAAATGTTTTGCGCTGGGGGGGAAAGGATCTAACAGTTTGTTACCCAGGACCTATCTTTACTAATGTGACTGCTTTTATGATCAGTCAGTCAGTGTAAAGACAGCACTCTGTCTTCACATTTAAACACCGTAACACAGTAATATTCCAAGCTTTGCTGAATTAAAATGATGGCTTTGCTTTTTATTTGCTCATTGCCATGGTGAATCCTAGTATCATAGTCACTGTGTGCACTTCACTCCGAGTTAATTAGACTAACTTTGATCAGCCGTCCTGGAGCTCAACTCACAGTACAGTACACGGAAGAGACACTGAATTATGTAAGATCATCTTAGAAATCAAACCACAAAGGCCACATTCAGAAAACAGGAGATGCTGGTACTGTATATACACCATTCCCATATCTGGACACAGAAGAAAGTTAGAATTTAATTTCAAAAAGTGAAGCAGAAAAACTGCAGTTTGGCTTTTGATACTAACTCACTACATAATTACAGCTGATTCATCACTCTGCCAAATATCTTAAAAAAAAAATCAAGTCCATTGTAAGAAAGCAGCAAAAAAATTGGTTCAATAAATTGTTCAGTGATTGATTTTGTGAGTCACAGCGCAAACAACAAAGCATTCTTCCCTCTGAGGCAGGCTTGAACTTAGGAATGCAACACGTTCAGTGACAAAAAGCCGTCTTTGACAGGTCACATGCACCTGTCAGATTGATTGAACACGTGTTACTGAGTTTCAGTAAAAACCTGTGACTGTTGTTGAACAAAGGCTTTGGTTTTTCTTTTGTTCTCAAAGTCAAACACCTACACAAACACTAACTCTTTGTTAAGTCAAAACCATACAGGAAAAGACTGTACTCTCCCTGTAAACCCTATGTGACCAGGGTGGCCCAAGTATGCTGAAGAGATACTTAATATGGTAAGTACATCATTTACAACAGAAGAAGTGACTCTTCTTTTATGAAACTTTCTCTGGATGTCATATGTTTCCAGTCAGATCAGCCTTTCAGTTCCCAAAATTCTCTCTACAGCCTTTATATCTAACACACTATAGAGACAGACACCAAAAGCAAAGCTTGGAGAACAGTAGCGGCGCCTCACTGCGAACTCTAGTACACATCTACAGTATGTTTATATCATTTCCCCCAAATGTCACTTGTATGCAGATTCATCTAAAACCATGCAACTACATAAAAATACGTGGTTGCTAGATTCAATTTGCACTTGACATACCAACCACAATCGAGAACACCATCAGATCAAAGTGCTAACACAAGACGAGACAAAATTTTTGTTCACCTTGGAGCTGTTGGATTCGGGAGGTGTGGTTGTTGGTGTCTCAGCTTCATTGCTGCTGTCGCCTTCAGCCTGACCCTGGCTGAGCAGGGCAAGCAGAGATCGGAGCTGGGGCACCGTGATGGTGCCGTTGTCCCCATAGCGGGCCAGCAGGTCCTGGAGCACCTGGTGAGGAGACTGGGTGTGACTCTCCCCCTGACCCATCACTAAGCCCAAAGGGCAGAGCAGTACTTTCAGGGCCAGAATGAGCATCAGCAGTGGCTGGAAGAGGGTGATGGCGGTCGTGCTGCGGCCATGAGGAGACCAGACAAGCATGGCTTCTTCACCAGGCTAGAGGCCACTGATCTGTAAATATGAGGAGGAGGAGGCATGAAAAAAAGAAATCTGTAACCTATGACAAATACCCACAGTCTTATAAAAGCTGGACTTCACAACACTGCTAGCTCCCAATGGCGGACAGATTTAACTGTTGTCATAAACTGGCTTCAAGTGCGTGACAAGGCAGACAAAATGTTGTTCAAACACAGCTCAACACATAGTTACATAACAACATACAGAAGTGGTGCCACGTTTTGGTACTCAACAGTCTTGAATACTTGGAACTAGTCACAAAAATTGTATGTTAGTATTCAAAAGCCCAACATCTAGTAGGTGATGAATTCCTCTTGCATGGTGCAGGTTAAGCACATAAATATCTATTTGTTTGGTAGGTAAGTTAAACCCTAAAACTTGCTGTTAGACATACAGCGCAAAGCACACAGAGTGAAATGGAAACTAGTGAGATGAGAACAGCCGCCAGTTATATCACACACCTACCAGACAACACCCACACCATCTGTGACTCCAGTGTAAATAACCAGCAAAGGAATACAACAGATTTTCCTTAAACAAAACCAAACATGCACCAGTTTATCATACTATCAGTACAGATACAGCTTTTTGAGTGCACATGTGACTACAAATATGAGACCAATGTGCTTTACATTGTAGCTTCCTCAGGCTTGCCCACTTTGTTATAACAGGTGTGTGCTTGTAAAGTTTCTGATGATTCTCAGTAACCATCATGGCAAACATTTACTTTTTTAACTGCAACAGAAAAACAAAACTACAACAAGCCATACGTGGTGTGTACTGGAATTTTGTATGCTTGTACAGTATATCTTCTGTCCTGCTCTGGCTTGGTACCCTAACAGATGGATGAGCAATTAACACTGCCCTCAACTGTGCACAGGATTATTTGTCTATTAACAAATGATAAAAAATTCATATTTTAAATCAACCAGTGTGGGTGGGAAAAGATTATCTCAGCATTTTAAACTACACAAATGACTGTGTGTTCACCTTTTTTCATTCCCGAGACAGACTTTCATTCATACACCACATACAGGCACACTGTCATCGCTCGCTCCCACACACAGACCTCCAATTCATTTCAGCGCATCCAGCCGGTGCAAATGCCATAGTAAGGTAAATAAATACAGCCATTCATTTTTTGTAAAAAAACCCTCACCTTTTCCTATAGGGCCTCTAATGATAGGTAATGTGAAAACGCCTGAGTCAGTCTGTCTGCCCTGAGGCTCTGAGTTTGTTGAGTGATGCCGGCAGGTTAACCTGGGAGCAGAGATGGAGTCGGGGAATAATGAGCAGAGAAGAGGAAATGCCTGAAGAGAGCAGTGAGCAGCTACTCAGGAGGGCAGCGGACTGTGGAGGAGAGAAAGAGACAGAGACAGAGACAGATAAGACAGGTTACAACTCAGTGGTGAGGAAGAAAGAAACAGGAAATGATGGCAGAAAAAAAGAGGCAGTGAAGAAGTAAAGACAGCAGCTGCCAGCTTTAATTTTGAGTTTGCACCAAAACCACATCATTCCTTTTCTGAAACTGCACTGAGCAGTTGCTCTTGGTTCTAAAATAGCTATATATAGAGAAGACCTCTGGACATGGAAACACTGCAGCTGCTGCCACTTTCTGTAGACTGCAGATAAGAAACCAACTGGTGACCAGAAGACTTCTGGTCTAAAAACACCACAGGCCAGGAGTCTAAATAAATGAGTGACAGCCTCCCCTCTGTATATGTACTGCTGATATGCCCTTGAGCTTGTCTCTGCACTCCAGCTGCTCAGTGGTCAACAATAAACATCTGTCTATGCTGAGGAGCTGTGTGGAAATGGGAGATGAGTGTATAGCAGCAATTTTATGAAAAAGATCTGCCTTTTTGTTACTTGCAATATGGGTTTGGACACCAAGTTTTTCCCTTTGTCTCCCTCCACATCTCTGAGCTGAGGAGGCAAAGACAATAGTTCTTTAATAGTTCACCCTCTAATTAGACCCTTGCTCCCAAATCTTTCTCTTTTCTTGCTCTAATGATGCCTTATTCTGAAGCAGGGGAAAACAAGGTGCAGAAAATAGAAAAAAAAATCCTCTTAAGCAAATATTTTTCCCCTCTCTCCATCAGTTCTCCTTTACATAATCCTTCTGAAATTACAAGAGAGCGGAACCTTAGCCTTGTTACTGCTGGCTGCTATTGTTAGTGAAACACAGGCTGAAGATAGGGGTGGATAATCGTGCTGAAAATACTGAAAATATTAGTCTGTCTACAGGTAATTAATCTCCAACTGATGAATATCTTCAGTTGGTTTGAGGGAAAAAAAAAACACATGCAAACTGAGGACTGGCCTCAAGAAAACAGTGATGTATATTTCCACTGTTGCTGGAATTTTACAAACTAAACAAAAGTAACTCTAAATTAATCTATGATGAAAATAATTCTTATTCTACGCCAGGAAGTTGTGAATTTTCTTGATTTTTTACTGTCAATAAAATACCCAAATGACCGAAATTATACATTTTTGGATAATTCAGTGGCTATCAGTCAAACCAGGGTCAAATCCAATATTTGTTTCTTGTTTTGTTTTGTCCTCTGAAAGAAAAAGAGCAGTGCAATGAAAACATTACAACCTGACTCGGTCTGACGACCTCTTTTCAGAACTCTGTCTCATGCAGCGAGGATGTGACTGATAAAACTGCATAAAACAAGCAATGAAACTAAAATGAACATATTTAACAAAATAATTGTTTGTAAGTAAGGGGTGACTTATTTGTATGGTTTTTACCAGGATATTTAATCACCTTTAAAAAGTGTCTGTTCATGTTAAAAGACAAATATTGGTCAACGTATCTTTGAATCTCAAATATCAGTATTGTTATTGGGCTCCAAAAATCCATTATTGGCCAGGCAGTCGGTATACAACAAGACAACAAGTGAATATCTGATTAGCTGGTGCCTGTCATCTTACTTCCATGACCATGATAATTGTATAGATGTCAAATATACACATGCACTTATGCTCCCAAGTCCTTTTGCTCTGAGAAACATACAGGTCCATATAAACCCTGCCAAAGCAGAGGCCTTCTTCACTGGTAGACCTCAGTGTGGCTATGGTCCAAACAAAACAACCCAGAAACTGCTTTTAAATGTCAGCATGTCGGGTCAGACCAATGTCAGCGTGCACACACAGAGTCACCGTGTATGTTCTTGTGGCATGTGTGTGTGTCTGTGTGAAGTCTGAGTCCAAGGCTTATTTGTAGTTGTGGAGATAAAGGGTGGTGGGCAGTGTGTATGTTTTTGTGGCATGTGTGTGTGTCTGTGTGGAGTCTGAGTCCAAGGCTTATTTGCAGTTGTGGAGATAAAGGGTGGTGGGCAGAGACAAGCAGTCTGCAGCAGAGGCGTTAGTCCTTTGACGCGACAGTGAAGGCCTCTGTCATGATGTTCAATGTGAGGTTTATAAGGAAGATGGCAGCAGAGGAGGATGGGAAAAGGTTTTGACACAATCTGAAGGACTCCAATTTGCTCAGCCCTTCAAAACCCCCTCCTTGCTTAGAAAGTCACCAGTTTGCCCTACTTTGTCCTGTTTCCATTCTGTGGAGTCCTTGCCCTGTGAGAAACTGTAAAAACTGGTGCCTGACAGCCAAGCCACAAGCAAACACGAATATAGAAAAGAGAGAAAGACATGAACAAACAAATTACAGTCTCCCAGAAAAGTATTGGAATGGCAAGGCCAATTAATTTGTTTCTGTACACTGGGGGTGACCTGTTACAAAAGGTGCCTTTTTTATCTTAACACAAAACATAAATTAATAGGCTTGCCATTCCAATACTTTTGGAGAGGACTGTGCGTTATCACCGTTTTCGCCATGAAATCGGAGCACTGGGATTGAGTACTCACTCGATCGACCTCACGGCTACTGCACCCGTGTGTAAACACAACTCAGTGAGAACTTTCTATCGTCGTCATCAGTTTCACCAGCTGACTGGGCAGGGATAAAATCCGACTGTTCACAAGCGTAACAGAATACAAGGCTGTGTCTTTACCCACAGGATACACTGCCAATTCAAACATTGGTCCAACAATCAGGTTGTGGATGACGCATGGAAAAGATCTGAACACTGACATGTACATGACAGATTGCTTAACAGTTTTACTAACATTACTGTAACCCAACTGTGTCCACTCCAAGTCCATATACATTATAAACATGTTACTGAAAGGTGCTATATGATGACAAGCTAACCAACAACTTCAAAAGTTTCACTTTGTCAGCATAGAAAAGGGTTGCTTTTATTAACGTCGATTATCAGCACACAACATTGTGCAGAAGGGACAACAATCTCAATCGAGGCTAATAAAGGTACTGATAGAAACATTTGTTTTATGTTTGTTATCAAATATCCTCATAATGATGAAAGATTATAGCCAGTGTTCAACCACTGGGAAATATTCTGACATGTTTTTTTTAAATCTCGTGAGATCAGAGTCACATATCGTGGGTCTTAGCAATGTTTATAAGAAAGAATATTTTAAAAAGGATATTTGTTTTCTACAATGCAGCAACAAAAGTAAGTATTGATATTCTGCCTGGGTCTGTTTTCTGTCTGACATGTAGTATAATCCATTAATCTGCTGGGCACATTTGGTGGTTGGTACAGAACCACCACGCAAATCGCATGCTTTTTTACTTTTGCTCAAGATCTTGATTTTTGCAACACCCTCCACAACACCCTGACTTCAAACAAATTCTTTTAATCAATTTTTTGCATGGAAGAAAAAAAAAAAAAAAAAAAAAACACTGCTGTACTGTCACACCGTGCATGGTGTCAATATATATTTTTAACTAAACCTTGCTAAAACATCTTTTGTATTGTAATTGACATGTTGCAGTCTGTAGGTATGAACTAATTAAAGCTGAAAGCAGACTGTGTGTTCACACTTCTGTCTGCATTCACATTCAATTTAATGCCTTCCACTGATTCTTGACACTGCTGTCTACTTTGGCAACTTAATAATCCAATTTTTCTGCAATGAACAAAGACTGCCACAGGACAAAAAGTCAAGACTTTATCTTATTCGATAGGTTTTCAATCATAATCGAATTCATTCAAATGTACAGCACAACAAATCTTTGCCTTATGATTGAGTTGTTTCTTGTGTATCATGATAAGATTTTAATTAATGATTGTTTTCATTATAGATTAATCTGCTGGTTGGTTTCTTCTTTATTCATTAATCCATCAATCTTTATATTGTTAGAGAGTCTATGGTGGTATGTTTTGTTTTTCTAAAAAACAAAAAGTTTTGTGTTTACTATCACAACAAAGAAGAGCAGCAGCTAACTGCTTTAGCTCTAAACCATGAGGTCCGGTGATCTACTTCAGTACTGTAACACACACTATTAACATACTATTGTCCTTAATGCTCCTCTCAGTAATCTCTCCTGCTAAATCTAAACAATAAAGCATACTGTACCTTCAATGAACAGAGACACACAAACAGCAACTGCTCCTCGCTCGATCTTCTCTAATTCAAAGCAGCTTGGTCCTCAGTGCAGACTGGATTGTTTCCTCATTTCTGCACACTCAACTGTTTCATCTCAGGTCACCTTATATACCACTGGAGCGAAGGGCAGGTAAAGCTTTGCATCGACTCATCAGCCTTTACACAAGACCCCTAATTACTATTTTGCCCTGTTCTCAGGCTGAACAATCATCAACCAAGACCATCATTAGCTGAGGGAGTGATGGTTGTGGTTGCCATGTCGGTTCACCGAACACATTGACCATGTGCTCCACTCATCCTGTGTGTACAACAAAGGACCTTTCACCATCAAATTAAGGGCTTGGGACATGATCTGGTCTGCCTCAACCCCTCACTTTTACCCAGAGACCAGCTTAGAGGTCAGAAGTAGAAAGTCACAGAGTACATGCACTGAAATAACCTTCTCCTTTATCCTTTTTAAAAACATTTTTATGCCTTACTAAGAGTTATTTGCAAATTGGATGATTATTGAAGTACAGTACTCCCCTATATGCACAAAGTTACTTTCCACCACTGTCATTGCATTATAGATTTTAACCTGCTCAGCTTTAAGTTTCTCAGAGCCCTCATCTCTAAGGATCTTCTGGTCCATGAGCGCCTCCATTCTAGTGAAGAAAGCACATCAACATCTTAACTTCCTGCAGGGTCTGAAAAAATCCCACATGCTCCAGGATACTGGTGGACTTTCACCACTATACCACTGACAGCATCATTACAAACAGCATCTCAATGTGGTAGAGCCACAGCTCTGCATTCTCTGTGGCAAAACACTACAGCGGGGGCTGAAAACCACCCAACTGCTCACTATCAAGGACATTTATGAAAAACGCTGTCTACGCTGGGCGAAAGGCATCTTCAGAGATGCATCTCACCATAATCACAGTCTGGTTACCCTCCTCCCATCAGGCAGGAGCTACAGGTGCCTCAGCGCCAACACAAGCAGGCTAAATAACAGCCTTTCCCCACTGGTTGTGGCCATGTCAAACTGCTGACCATAGGTTACCAGCCACACTGCACATACCCTGCACTGCCTCCATCCACAATGCTATTTTGCACTCCATAGCTTGAATATAACTTGAAATTCTTTATTCAGCTTTATGTTGCACATACTGTATTTATATATACACATAGTATGTACACAAGTGTATACTTTTTTTATGTCCACACTGAATTTATACATATTCACCATTGCTCTATGATATGTCCTCTATATTACATTTTTATTTGTCATCGGGTTTTGTACATGTAGGCCCGCTCTGCACAATAACAATAAAATTGGACTTAATCTAATTGAATAGCGTGCACCCATCAGATAAATTAAGGGGAGTCTGCCTTTACAATACTATCTTTTAAGGGGCAGCAGAGAAACAGCACGCACAACAGTGCTGACTAGAAGACTGCCCACTGGCAGAGAGACATGTTTACACAGGCTCGGAAAACAAAACAAATACGCCGATTGGTGGTGAAGATTAAATGGACAAGTCAAGGAGTCGCATCATTTCAACATGATATAGCTGCATTAGGTTAACGTTAACTTTGTTCAATAAACACATGGAGAAATAAAAGGTTAACGTTAGCTTCTACAGCAAGATTTGATTCAGCTTCGGTCTCGAACTGATAACGAGGTACAGAACCAGCCAGTGTGTAAATAAATGTCATAGCGGACAAATGTGAGACAGTTTCAGTTACTAATATAATACAGAACCGGGTATGTTAGCTAGCTTCTCATTAACCTTTACAGTTATCTTACCCGGTGATGCTGTTAGGGGCAGAAAAATAGGCTTGACGTCAACTCCTGTCCACCAACAGCGTCCCCCTGGCTCCGACGGACCGGATATAGCGCACTCAGGTAAAAGAAAACGCCATTTGTAAGCAGCACCTGAGCTGTTCACTACGTTCAGTCACTGAAAGATGGACTATAGTGTCTTTTTAGATCCGGTTCTCCCCTTCAAACAAACCACGGTAACAGCAACTCCAGGGAATAGCTGTAACGTGGAGGTTGTGATCAGCTCAGTGAAGTGGTGACGTTCTTCTTCTTCTTCTGTTTCTTTTTTGGCGGTTGGAAAGCAACGTCAGGTGCATTAGCGCCACCTTCTGAATAGGGGAGTGGGTTAAGATAACCAAACTGTCATATTCTATTTATTAAGCTAGTATTCTCGGAATAGAAAAAAATACACCTAAAATACTGTTCTCCTGAATTCATTTGTAATATATACTTTATGTCAAGACCTATATTATATGATTCAAAGTGCATTTTTTATCTTTCTAAGTGGTGACCTACAAGGTTCGTTAACTGTTTTCAAAATGGCGGCGTCTCCCTCATGCGGTGGTTATTGAGAACTGCAAGACAAGTTATTTTCCTCCTTTATTGAACCACATAGCTGTGGAAAAGATACTCAATTGTTTACTTAAGTATCAATACCGCAGCGTAAAAATACTCTGTTACACGTAAAACTCCGGCATTCAAAATGTTTGCCTAAAATTGCAAACGTATTAGCATCAAAATAGCCTATACTTAAAGTACCAAAAGTAAAAGTACAGTATGCAGAATGGTACATTTCACATTAAAGTTGCCTATATTATTGGAAGGAGCTCACACACAGTCCTGAGAATAGGTCTAACTGTGCACCATAAGTCAAAACACCTGTGTGAGCAAACCAGAGGAGTGTTTAAGGTTTAAATAAAAGATAAGCTCTCCCACTTTCAGGTCAGTGTAATTGAGCTCCGCTGAAGATACCTGGTAGACTATTGCTTTTCTTGTACTTCTTGTACTCTTCAGAGAAAGTGATATGTTTCCCATGGCAAATTTAAGAAATAAAGTGGGGTGTCAAAAGAAATAGAAAACCTATATGACTCTATATGACTATATGAATTTTTTACTGCTTATATATTCTGAACACTAAGGTCTTAAAAAGTAATCAGAATCAGAATCAGAATCAGAATCACCTTTATTGGCCAGGTGTGACAGACACACGAGGAATTTGACTCAGGTACATCGGCTCTCAATGTGCAAACAGTAGAGCAGCATAAGGCTGTGTAATATACCAAAATAGCAGTATTAACATCAACAAACAGTGCAAACAATGCAGAAAAAGCAGTATAAACAGACAGTAAACAATACAGACAACAAAGGAATGTTCATTGAAATGAGATAAATAGGGATATATCAGAGTACTTAAGAACTAGAGATCTGTACAAGTCTGTATAATCTGTACGAGGTATATTTACAGGTATTGCACTGAGGGTTATTTGTCCAATCATACTGTCGTGGGTTAAGTGTTCATTAGAGCGACGGCCTGGGGGAAGAAACTGTCCCTGTGCCTGGTTGTCTTGGTGCACAGCGACCTGTAATGCTGTCCAGAGGGGAGGAGTTCAAACAGATTGTGTCCAGGGTGTGAGGGGTCTGCAGTGATCCTCTCTGCCCTCCTTTTGACCCGTGCAGTGTACAGGTCCTCCAGGGAGGGCAGGCTCACACCAATGACCTTTTCTTCTAATTTAAAAGTGGATGCTGGCAAAGATGTGTTGTTGTACAAATTTAGTTGAACTGCACACACACAAATGCAACAGTTATTTCACAGACAAAAATATTAAAGTTTGCACTTAGATAGGGATGCAAGTACGAGTACTGACATTTGAGTACTTCCCAATACAATGTACTGATACAAGTACTTAATAATAATGCAATGGTTCTATTATAAAAATTAGTTACCATAAAAGTACAAAGACTTTAGAGACAGTTTCTGTTTTCAAAAGGTTTACTTTCTCTTTGATTTACTGTTTGAACCTCTCTTCCTCCTTCTCCCCTCTGAACGGCATTACAGAACACTGTAAACAACCAGACACAATGACAGATTCTTCCCTTGTGCCATCACTCCCATTTACAGTTAATCCATGTTTGAATGACAATCCTGCAAACACCCCAGTGCAATAATTAGTAAATATAACCACTGTACATATTTATCTAAAAGCTATTCTTTCACACTGTAGATATGTACAGTATATATTTATTTATAAATTCTTAATAAGAGAATATATATTCTAATAGATTATTATTTAACTTTTCTATTTAGAGTAAGAGAATTAAGTAATTTATTTGACAGATTCTAAATGAGTTATGGATTTCAGGTGTTATCAAGGCAACAGAATCTCACAAGGCCAAAACTTAACCACTTAAAAACATCTTAATTTTCATAAAATCTACTTGATAAAAACATATTAAGCAGACTTTAAGGGGTAAGAGGCTGAAATACAAGTCTAGTGGGCATATTTGACAAATGATTTGTGATATAAAAGTATAGATAGATAGATGCGCCCAGCAATAATCCAAAATATAAATATAGTCTAAGGTGGTCAACATTAGCTTCACCTTTACCAGCTGCAAAAGCAGTGATGAACACGATAATAGATCAGTAATTATAATCCAATAATAAAGCCCGCCTTATTGTGAAATTCCACTTTTGCTACTTCAAGTACATCTTGATATTTATACTTTTGTGCTTTTATTTAAAGTATTCTGATTCTGAAGTAAAAATGTGAATGCGAGACGTTTACCTGTATCCGAGTATTTCTAAGCTGTGGTATTGCTACTTCTGCCGCCGCCGCTGTCTCGCGGTACCTGAAGGCAGCGCTAGTCATCCAACGAAGTGAGGAAAGAAGGAGGAATGAAAAAAGAAAACGCCAGATCACATGACCGCCTCCGTTATTTCCTGCAGCCGCCGCCGCTCGCTCCTGCGACAGCACAGCACTGGTGTGGCCGCTGTGAACGCACGTTAACGGAAAGAAAAAGCACTCTGCACGTACTGAAGGCCTCTGCCATACTGTAAACCCCGTTGCAGTCACACGGACGACGGATATACACACGCCTATAGCCCTTTTCTAATCTTAGTTTCTTTCCTTTTGTTTGAACGTTAAAAAGCCAGTCCTCATAATGGCGACAGCTGCGGTGTCTGCCCCTGCTGGCTGCGGCCCCAGCCCCGGGCCGGGAACGGAGCTCGTCCGCGGGCAGGCTTTCGACGTCGGGCCTCGATACAGCAACCTCTCGTACATCGGGGAGGGAGCCTACGGGATGGTGTGGTAGGTGTTTCCGACGCTTCCATTTACTTAGTGAGCGTGTTAAATAGTGTGTAGAGTTTAAACATTTTCTTTTTGGCACGACATAACGTTAACTAACTTAGACCTTTTCCCGTTACAGTTGTATTTTAGCTTTACATGCAGAGGTGTGATGTTAGATGTTAGATAGCTAAATGAAGACTGTTTACCAGGAAACAAGGATGAAATCACAGCTGATTTAACAGATGATCTGTACTCCAGGGTGTATTTTTTGCTTTGTAATGAGCACACGTGTACGTCACTCACTTTTTTTTATTTAGTAATTTGCATCGGTGGTGATAAATATTCTAGCTAAATAAAATGCCATTTGTATCCTCTTTAACTGAGATTGAACATAACAAGCAGCTTATGAAATGAACAAATCTGTCCTGTAATATTGTTATAAGGGTGTGTGCAGTTCTTCACTTTAACTTAATAGTGGCTTGTGCCTCCCAAACTAGTGCAGTATCCCTTTTTACACTCCCCCACTGACTGTGTAGGCAAGACATGCAGACCCTGCTATGTTATTTTTATTCACTGTCATTTTTGTAAATTTTCTGTTTTCCCACCCTTGGTGGTTTTATCTCTGTTGGCGGTATTTACATAATATATGTGAACAAATACCTCAGGGGTTTCCTTTACAATTTTGTTTTCTGTAGCAGATGGCAGGTTATATGTGAAGGAATTTATAGGTGATACCCTGTCTGGAAGCAGTATTCTCTGCATGATGATATTGTAAGATAAACTAGCCTGAGGAAGGCGCTGGGGACAGAAGTTGCCTTTTCCCCCCCTTTTATTTCTCCCCTCTGGCAACAGCACAACAGCAACAGAACCAGCCACACACTGAACTAACTACTAACTACTAACTAACTAACTAAACTCATCCTGGCGAGAGGGGCATAATGGGGGACCCTGCCAAGTGTCTGTCTGCCCCCAATACTACACAGCCCCCACCTGGCTGGTTAACTGGCCTCAGCAAAGTCTCTTAGGTGTTGGGGGTGTTCTGTACTGGAACTGAGTCTGCTCTGGTGGCTCCTGGGCAGCTGGTGAAGGGTGGTTTGGAGCTCATGGCTGGATCCCGTTGTCTGACTCTCCCCCCTCAGGTGACGCCACAGGTTAGTATAGTGTGAGTTTGTCCCAGTGAAGCACCACCCATTTCCGCTTACTCAGTCTCACCCTGTAAGCGGCATCAGTCATATCTTTTCAGTACAGTACAGGGGCTGCTCTACTGGCTCGCTGACTGTGGGTACAAGCCCTTCTTCTGTTCAGGGCTGTACACCCTCACCAGGGCATCAGGGAGAAAGTTCTCTCCTAGGCTGCAAGCATCCTGCATCTGGCCAGGCCCCGCGTCCATCTGTGCCTCCACCTGGTCCTGCTGCATGGGACCATATGTGTGCTGGATCAGCCCCCTACAAACTGCACGACCCCCCCAACTCTGCTGGCAGGGCAAATGTCCTGCAGGGCCTCTGCGTGTCATGTGGTGGTGTCCTGGTCCTTTGCACGCTGACTGCACCGGCGCTTTTTCCTTCTGTAGCTCCTATTGTATAAGCCTTCGCTGCCTTGCCTGGTCTCAGTGCACACCGCCCAAGAAAGCAGTGTAGACATGGTGGTGGTGTAAATGACCCTCCAGCCAGCCGCTCAAGCTTCGGGGTTGGGTGCATCCCTTCCTTACTGGCAGTGTGGAGATGCATGGCATCCGCATCCCGGCAGAATGTTGTCCCAGGCACATCCATCACGCCCCCCCACTCTCCCCAATCACTGGCGATGCGGAGGTGGGTGGCTCATGTAGTTTCTGTCATCAGAAGCCAAAAATGTGGAGGGATTCTCCACGTTTAAACTCACTGCACATCTTGCAGGTCGAGCTTGCAGAAGCGTCTCTTAAGAGCACTCAGCAGGGCCCCATAGTTGCTCTGCTCATCTGAGCTCAGCTACTGCAGGCATGATTGGGCATCTTCTGTCAGCAACAAAACCAGCTGTAGCACCTTCACCTCTTCTGACCAGTGAGCAGCGGCAGCTAACAATTTGAACTGGGTGGGAGCCCAGCGGGTGGTAGGCAACTCTCCAGCGGCTCCGGGGCCTTTTGCTTCAGGTCTCACTACCTCTCGCTTCTATTGGCTCCTGTGGCTCTTCCCCATCTCACTTCTGACACCAATGTAACGTAGGGTAGTGTGAAGAGCTAAAAACAGAAGTTGCCTTTTTTCCTTTTTAGTTCTCTCCTCTGGCAACAGAGCCAGGCACGCACTGAACATGCACACAAAACTCCGCCAAGCCCAAACTAAATACATCCCGCCCAGACGGGCATTAGAGGTACCCTGCCAAGTGTCTCTCTACCCCCAGTGCTACAATTAGTTAATAGAGATGTAGTGGAGAATAAGCTTAATTTATGCATTATTTTATTTGCTGTATGTGTGTGTGTATATACACACACTAATATAATACATCTTAGTAGTTTGAAATGCTTTTTTATACAACATTGAACTACACTGCAGATTGCATCAACTCAAGTCCTACTGTCATCTTTCAGAAGCACTAAATCTTGTTTCTCTAGGCTGTAGTAACGTAGTTGACTTTAGATGTGCACAGTGCATGTTGTTCTGTATTATATAATGTACTGTCCTTGCAGTGTAGTGTGGAGACAATAATACATGTTGATGTTAATAAAAGTGTTGTAATTTGTAAAGTGATAGTCATCTAGAAGCTGGATGACATAATGGTTCACATCAAATATTTTCAGAAATTTGCATGGAAAGGTCAATTGTATATTATTAGGTTTGATCAATTTTGAGTTGATTAATCACTTAAAGTAAAAATATCAAATATTTGCCTTCTCTAGTTTCTCAAATATCAAAATGTACTGATGACTGTATTTTTGCATAATCAGTGTAAACTTACTAGCTTTAGGTTTTTGACTGCTTGTCAGACAAAATAAGACTTTACTTTGGCCAGGGTTACTTTTGATGGGCATTTATTTATACTGGGACCTTAATCAGAATCTGCAGATTAATTGATGGCGACAGTTGACTGTCTTGATGTATGCTGAACTAGCCACACAAATAGTTACACTAGATATTAATACATCCCGTCTTTCACAGATTTTTGTTATGACTTTCAGTGCAAAGGGGCTGTTTTGCTAACGTCAGCCGCATTTTAGAGTGATGGTGATGTACAGTATATACACTGCCTGAAATGGCCCCGGGTCGACCGGGGATCGAACCTGGAACATTCTTGCTGTGAATCACGATAGTCTAGGTGTCTGTACATGCAGCTCATGCATCTCTGTGAGTTGCTCAGTTCATTATAAACATAATTGTTTTGGAGAATGCCCTAAATAGTAATAACATGAGGGGAACATGGCCACAGTGGAACGCGCTTGCATTCCCCACCATTTGATTCGCTCTGGTCTAACACTTTATGTGTGGCTTGATGTACTGTCCAGTTTTGTGTGCATACTGTGGCTTTCTCTCTGTCACGGTCATGGTTGTGTCTGAATGAAGCCGTGAGAAACATTAACATAACAGTGACCTATGCCTGATTCACAGAAAGTTGCTGCTTTAACAGATTGATGAAGCCAGCGATGTTACATATTGCATCCCTGAAAGGTCCTAAAGACGACAGAGTGGTTTCTGTTACAAGTACGATATGTTTTACAAGTGGTAACCTGTTAGGCATCTCATTGCTGTTTCTGCACTCTTCCAGTCAGTGTGGGCGTGTGACGTTTTATTCCTTGAACTTTCTTTTATCAAGTTTCAGTTTCTGTAAGCTGAGCTCTCTTTTGTTATCTGTTGACCCATGCTGGCTATCAGTGCTCCTGGTGCATGTGTTTTCTTCTTCTGGTTATTGCAAATACTGCTTCCAGTAATGTAAAATGCACAGGCTTTGGATGACTTTAGCTTGAAATGAGGGGGATACAATGTTGCTCACTAGTCAACTTTGAACATTACTAATTTTGAGGGCATTTTAATTCAAAGCATGTTGTGACCAGTTTATTTCAACTGTGAAGTGTGTCAGAGTTCATCTGGGCAGGTGAGAACAAAGCCATTAAGGTCACACCAAAATCTGAGCTAATATGGAGTGATACATTAGGCGCATCTCAACCAAGTGCACAAAGCAGCCCAAAAACAGATTGATTTATGAGTATAAAGTGTTTCATTTCCTTACATTTGAGTTCATAAATTACAGCAACTGGCACAGACAGATCCATTGTGCCTGGGTTAGGGTTAAACGACTGGATTTATTTTGATGCCAAAATGTCTAAGGAGCTACCTTAGACTTGCAGGTTACATAAACTTTGTTTCTATTTTTTAAGATGATTTTTGAGAGCAAATCCTGTCCTCTTTATAAAATAAAATGCAGTTGCTGTTTTAGTGTTGTAATTCGGGTGGCCATTTCAATAAATAACTTAAGATAGCAGCAGTAGAAGTCCATTATTCTTGAATCATGTTCATGTAGCCATCAAGACTATTTCTTTTCTCAGGTGCTGCTTCTGTCTTTGGTACACTTAAAGACAGTTGGAGTGGGTGATGTTTCAGCCTCCTTGCACTTGTATTGCTGCGTTCTTCTACAGACCTGTGGTTTTCAGTCAGTTGGTCATGTTGCTTTGATGTGCAACAGTCAGAGAAAGTGGTGCAGCATGTACTTCACAGACATCTGCTGGGCTGTATCTGAAATATTTTTAAATCAGGAAGTTCTTCTTTATCAGGCTTTTTGTGGTGACATTGCAACTGTGTACATGTATATGCAGGGCTCCAGATTAATATTTCATACTGGTGGCACTGATACCACCAAGTCTCTCACAGGCCATATTTGGTGGCACCAACCTTTTTTTTTAACACAGTGAAATGCAATTGAATCTGTATTTTTCATAAATTATTTTAAATACCCTTACCATCCAATGTGTATAGCTTGTATGTATAATGAAATGCAGAGAGGCTTATGGAACACAGTAAATGGGAAAACTTACTCCTGGAAGATGTTTCCACCTCTTT